CCTGCAGCGAACCTCCTGCAGCAAACCTCCTGCAGGTATGTAGTGCTTTTGTTCATTTTTTCCCTTTGTATTTAATTTTGAACCCTAAAGCTCCCTCGTTCTGATAAGAAAGGTAAAGGCCAAAGTTCGTGCCCCCCCGCAGTACCCTTCACACCCTTTGGGGGATGCATCCCCAAGTTTGTGCACCACTGGTCTATCAGACTAATGAACTGAAGACCCCTGACCTATTCTTTACCAATGTCATCATGTTTCCACCTTTTCTCTATCATCATCATGTTTCCATCTATTTCAGGAGAGGTTCTTTCAGCTGCGTCCGGAGGCACGAACATATCATTATGGTAACATAGAGGATCAGGTGGCCCTGAGGAAGAGGCTTACTTGCCAACCATTTTCATGGTATGTTTCCACAGTATACCCAGAGCTGAATCGCACCAACAGCGATGGATCCTGGTATCGACCTCAGCTGGACAAAAAACCGAATGGGCCCCCCCAAAAATTCCAGGTTCAGTCCAGAGGATATTAAACATTGATTTAAGGAGGCAAGTTTGCCTTAAGGGCAAAACTTGACTGTTGAAAAATTCTATATTATGAATGCCCACATGAACATGTCCCTTGTATTGGGTTGGAAAGAAAGTCTTGCAACACTATGTGCAAATTTTTCAAAATGTTATAACTTTATTGAAATGCAATTTCAGTCTACAATGTAATGACCATTGTTGTCTATGACATGTTCGAGTATGGTTGACGTAGAGGACCCAGCTCTCATCTCCAGTAACGATTTCTTTCAGAAGGTCCTTTCTGTGCGGACGAAGGAGCAGTGATTCACAGACACCGACACGGCTTGCTTTGTCAGAGTCGCTGAGCCGATGAGGGACCCATGTCGAGTAAACCTTCCAATAGCCGAGGTTGTTCAGATGGTTGCCGATGGCCATATGGGTGACTCCAAGTGTAGTCGCAGATTCGCGAGTGGTGGCGTTCGGCTTCGTGTTGAGGGCGTTCCGCAGGGCTTCGTCATTGACTGTCGATGGACGTCCTGAGTGTGGTCGATCTCCGAAGGTCGTGTCGCCAGATTCCAAGCATTTCAACCATTGAGACACTGTGGAATAGTGGACGACGTTGCCCTTGAATGCAGCGCAGATGTTGTCCGTGGCGTTTCTCGCAGAGTGTCCTTGGAGGAACTCGTAGTAGACGATAGGGCAAAGAGTTGCTCGTTCAATCGGAGCCACGGCTGCCAAAATGGCAGAAGCCGCCTTATATACCCCGAGGGCAGAAGCTTCGAGAACATTCCAGCATTTACAAATGCAAAGCCATCATTCCTTTGAAAATTTTTAGAAATAGTTTTAGAAAGTGTTGCAAGACTTTCTTTCCAACCCAATATTTTCCTACTTGTGAATTAATCCCTTGTTGGAGATATTTGGACTCAACCTCTCCATTATTTTCCATGGGAAGCAGAAAGAGGAAATTCTGGCCAAAAAATGTAGATCCAATATGAGGTGGAAAGCAGATGGATTTCCATTCTGCCATTGCTTAGGATATGTTCTCTGCAGTCAGTGAAGACTGTTTCTTCAAAGTTAATTTGAAGAAAAAAACTTTCAGGAACTTCTATTCAACTTTTCTATGTGCCTATCAATTATATTCACACTCTCCCAAATAATTTGGAACCTAGATCAATCATTTACATTATGGCTTGCTACATTATGGTTTTCCATGTTTTGCTGTTGGCATTTTGTCATTTTGTTGGCATTTTGAATTTAGTCACTCTGATTGGTTAACTCTTCCTAAATTGACCACAATCCAGGTGGTGGCCAGATATGCTTGTCAGAAGGGGCACTGTGAGTGCATGTGCTAAGGTGAAAGCAGAAGAACTGGAAGAGATAGAGAATTATATCTGGCACAGGCAACATTCAAGGCAGTGACCAAAATTTCTCAGTGCAGAATGTGTCATATTAATTCAATGTTTTTACCATAATGGAATCTCTTTAATGGTGATTGTTTACAATTTTGTCTACCCTGAAAGATGTAATGAAGTTATTAGATGTAAATTGCTGCCTGTCCATTTACTGAAATATATGTCACATTCACCCAAGTTGTGTAGAGGCTCTAAGCAGTTGTGGAGACGGATATTGATTTTTTCTAACACTTGCCACCCTCTTCCTATTGTATCATTTATACTGTTTCTTCAATTTAGATACAATCACAATGCCTCCTATTTGCATGCACTGCCATTTGCCTGGAATGAAAAAAAGCAACTTTTTAACTCTGTTTAACCCTTTATAGGGTTAACCCCTTTCAATGATATACGTTTAAAAAATTTGTCATAAGGATTAACAACTGATGGTTTTAGGCACTAGAAATGATGCATGCAACAATTTCCAAACTCATTTATTTTTCTTAAAGGGTGGCAAAGTCACCATCCTAAGATCAACCCAAGATTGAGTCCAAGTAATGAGACTGGTTGACCTGAATATAGAGTGAGTGCTGCGAATGTTGGCACTCTAAGCAAATACTTCACTTCCACCTTCCTTGCTGGTTTTTGTGATGGAGCTTCCTAGTTCATATTGGGTCTGGTGATACCTTTATTATAAACCTTCTTGTACCGCAACCCCAAGTGCCCCAGGCCTTTCATTTCCGAGGGTCTGGGTCAAAGGTGAAGTTGGGTCAGATGTTGGCAATCTCGGCACACTTGCTGGCATTGGTGGCACCACCCTGTTGGTAATATTGGCACACTTATGTATCACTGTTGTTTACAACGGACTCAAAAATGAATGCAATGACTAGATAAAACAATACCTAGTGTGGAAGAGAAGAACAGAATGTGCCAAAAGCTTAGCAAAATCACAGGATTTTGCAGGATTTTCAGGGTGTGCTTAGAGAAAGTGGCCATTGTGAGAAAACTACAACAGCAAGCATGACTGTACCAAGCGCATGTCAGCGACATAATTCCTACTATCTGAGAATAATTATCTGCCTACACCTAGGAGACTGGTAGTGAAAGCAAATAAAACTACTAACGTTTCACGACTCTAATGGGGGTCACGGCTGTAAGCGTCGTGAATGGGATTCACCGTTTGTATCGCTGGACATTGAATATTTTCGTAGAACCCCCACCTTGTCGAACCTTACTTGGGCATGCTGTGTAAGAATGGCAAAGCGAGCCTGGGAAACTGTGCAATACAGTTATATCATGAATTTTGAAACTTATGAAAAGTCCTTTACACCAAAAAAACTCTTTCTTATGGATGGGTTGCATGAATTCAAAGTCTGGTCATCTCGCATTGGATCTTAGCTGTCATGAAAATCCCCTTTCGGTACATTGTGTGCAACTTTTTTGAAAAAACAAGGATTACTAGGGTTAAGTGGGAGTGATATAAAAGTGGTAAGTCTACAGAGTCAGAGTTCTCTCAAGAACCTGTATACTTCCTTACTCGATTGACTACCTATACGACCATAAACGTAAACATCATTTATTTTACTATTGAGTATTCATAAATATTCCTTTGAAGACAGATTTTCAAATTATAGTGGCACTTTTTATTTTTTAGATATTTGATGACTTTGTTCTTTTATTGCATCATCTGAGTGAAAATAATTTTTCTCAGTCTCCAATGCATAAGCATTGGAGGCTTATGTCATTATTTTTATTCTCATGAGATGAGGAGACCTGCTGGTCCTCCATATGTTGAAATAAACTGTCAGAGGGGGTTTCTAACATGAATGTGGAAGACCAAGTATCTAAGATGTGATGCAAGGACACAAAAGTATATCTGGGTGGTGAATTTTCTTTCCAGTGCTCGAAGCCATACTTCTTTATTATCTGTCTATACATTTTGAAAATTCATGGAAGTGTAACGATCAGATTCCTCTGGCGTGGCCGGTAAGACTAAATTACACTTGGTATTTATGATCTTACTGGCAAACTGTCTTATCGTTACTATTAATAATTTAGAGAATTTTGCTCCCTTTGGAAAGGTTCGTAGTGGTCGATACGGAATCAATTACCTTGGGCAAGGATTCCTAAGCGAACCAGGCTTCACATAGATTATATTTATTCTAATTTGCTACCTAACATACAGTTCCAAATGTTCTGAAGATATCAAATATATTAATAGTCAACCAATGATCTAATATTCTCAGCACAACCAAGCAAGGGCGACAGCTTCAATTTCGCAAAACACAATAAAGTTCTGAGGAAATATAAGCAAAAACTAGCTCACCATCAAAGCAGCAGCGCTCACGCTTAATCTCGTGATTTATCAAAATCACGGCTAACACAACGAAATCGAAAGGGGTTGCTCGGGCTCCAACCGTTGCACGCCCACTCTCCGATCTCGTCCTTGCTATTTCTAATCGTTCCTTCCGGCTTCAATCACCAAGGAACAGGATCTGGCTCCAACCGGATCCGCCTAAGCCCGGCTTCAACCAGCACTTAGGTACTCGGCCCCAACCGAATAGAAATAGCCAGGTTCCTGATTACAAACGGGACCCTAGTCCTGACACGTGGTGACAGTAGCGAAGTCTGGAACACACTGTCCTCTCTCCTCCTTCTCCTCCTTCTGAAGTTCGAGGTCGAGTGTATATAGTGTTCCTTCCCATTAATCCATGTCACGGCATGTCGAGCAGTGAGTATCTGGATGACTGGACGAATGCTACCACATCAATAATAATCCTTTAATGAAATGGTTCTCTGGACGAATGTCGATTCCTTTTGACACATGTCTTGGAGCGCCATAGCTCAAAAGGTATCATTTCTTTTCTCATACCACCGTCCTTCTCGTCTACCCGGTACACTACCGCCACTGAATGACGAATGGACGATAGAAGAATTAATATCGTTTTCCATTATTCCTGGGAAATCATTAGGCATCCAAGAATGGAAGATGATTAGTCTCTCGGGTGCTACAGAAGGAAATATTTTCTGCCTGCTGATTCCTATAAATATTCTTACTGGTTGCAACAACAGAAACCTTGCCACTCCCCTTCATAGCTAACAAAGAGAATGAATGAAAGTAAGGAACCTAAGAATATGATTGAAATCAATGAACAGATCAGCAATGTATGTACAATGCTGCCAGGGGTGACTTTGGCAAATGTGAGTAGAGGGTATTATGAATGGGAGAGATGAGAGAAGGAGTGCATGTGCCCTGTGTTGGTCTCAAGCGGTGAAGTAGTGAGTCATCTAGGCATAAGCACCTGCTTTTAAAATGGAATGCCTCGCTGATGTCATCACATGTGCAAGACTTTCTCCCTCTCTCTCCTACCCCCCTTGTCCCCCCCCCCTTTAAACCTTACAGGTTTTTTTTGGTTGAAATCTTAGTGACATTTTCATTCCTGTTACTGTGCAGATTCATTTGGCAAAAGGCAGGCTCTGCTTGACACCAGTTGATCTTGAACCCAAAAAGGGAATGTCACTCTCCTTGCAGGAATGCCACTCTTCCCGCAAGTCCATACAGGTTTGTCAAAATCCATGCAATTCTTTAACTCACTCCTTGTTGAGTTACAAAATGGTGACTTACCATATTCTTATATCAATCCCCATTGTTTTTTACATGTTGCCTTGTGTTTTTACATGCAGGCAAAAGCTGCTTTCACCAGGCTTGGAAAGATTGTAATAGTTACCTTCTTGAAAATTGACCAGGGCCATGGACCATGATCTATGATGTTATGGATTTCTCCTCCCCCCCCCTTCCCCCTTTTTGCCTTAGGATTTTTTTTTTGAGGAAGCCTCATCAATGCACTACTGCAATTAAGTTCAGCAGATTACCATAAAGATCAAGGGTCAAATCCATTGCATTTATCTCTTCACCTGACCATTTGCATGGAATGTTTGCATGCCTTCAGGTTCAGTTTTCTTCCAGATGCAAAGTACCTGTTCACATATCCTTATAGTTCATATGAATATGCATGTACAGTAGATGCATAATCATTATCTTGGCAAGTACTTGGAAAATGACTTCATTTAAGTAAAATTTCCAAAATTGTCACTTTTGAAAAACTTTTCCTTACTTTCTTAATCACAGTACCATATTAAACCCTACTTAGATGGATATAATCCAAGAGTACCACCTTTTTAACATGAGCACTTCTTCAGCAAGCTGTTGAAAACTGGAGAAATACTGCAGTGGTGGCTTTACTTTCTTAATCACAGTACCATATTAAACCCTACTTAGATGGATATAATCCAAGAGTACCACCTTTTTAACATGAGCACTTCTTCAGCAAGCTGTTGAAAACTGGAGAAATACTGCAGTGGTGGCACAATTGCACATTTTCAAATTTGAATGTCTGAGGTTTTTTTTAATGTACTTGTAGACTCACTTGTTGAATTACAAAACTGTCATGCCATTACACTGCCAAAGTGGGCAAGTCATGGAACCTAATGATAATGGTCCATAATCTGGCTTAACCCCTCGGGCTGGTTTGTCATACCCTGTATGTGCTACATTCTCTTTGCCACAGGCAGTTTGCTGTACTGGATACGCCAAGGCATGATTTGATATCATTTGACTGAGTAGTATAAGTACCAACTTGAGGGTTTAATAGTGCAAGAAATCATGCAGCCCTGCTGCACAATAGGCCAACAATGACAATGAGCCATTTTGGAATGTATTCCTGTAGAGGTATTATTTGTTCTCAGAAGTGACTCAGAAGTGAAGTAGGAATGGAATTATAGGATAGGAATTCAGTTCCAATGAACTATGTCAATAGGCAATGTATGAGGGTGGATCAAAAAGTAATGGCTGATAATTTTTTTATTTACAACATTTCCTTCTATCCTCAATAAAGTGCTTTTGAGAGTAGGTGCTACCATTTGTCACTGATGCTAGCATGCATTGATTTTATCATTTGCCATGAGAGGATAGGCACACAAGATATTTGAAAATCGTGGTACCACTGGACCACCATTCTGCACCAAAATTGAACAGTGAAATGTGATTCATTTTCTATGGTCCAAGAGTTTCAATGCTGTCGAAATTTACAGAAGAGTGAGGGTGCCTCCTGGGTGCAATTGGTGAAATTGATATACTTTGGTTGTCCAAGATTGTAGCCTCCACAACAGCCTTGTGGTTGGGTTGTGGAAGTGCTGTCTGTTCTGTCTCTCACTGTCTTGCACACTTGTTCTGCCATTATGGGATGTTTGTACTCACTCCCACATTTTCCATTCGTTCATACACATGCCTCCTATGCTGGGTATACACTCTTCTGTGAATTTCAATGGCATTGAAACCCTTAACCACAGAAAATGAATCAGATTGCTGTTCAGTTTTGGTGCATGCCTCTAGTTGTACTGTCATTTTCTAATCTCGTGTGGCAAATGGTGCAAGTAATGCATCAATGACAAATGGTAGTACCCACTCTCAAAAGCATTTGTCAAGGATAGAAAGGAACTTGAGAAAAAAATTATCAGCCATTACTTTTTGGTCCACGCTTGTAAATCCAAATTATCAATATTAAGTGGGAAGTTATAGGTCAGTAACCTGAAGGTTGTTGCTGAATTGAATATGTAATTTCTCTTTTGCAAGTTTGATGAAGATAACCTTAAAAATCAATGCATGGATTGAAAAGGCTTGAGAAACTATATTCTTCAGCATAACTCATTTAGTGTACTTTTGAAATTAGGTGTCATCGATTGAAATAATTTAAAATGTAAGATCTAACTCTTTTTTGGAAAACATATTCTCCTTAATGGCTGGCCAGAGTGCTACAAGTGGCAGAAGTTCTAGCCATTCCTCATCCTTCTATGCACATTGTCTTTATTATCTTTCTGGTGTCATAATTTTAAGAAACATGACTAATACAGGATGATTCAAAATATTGTATACACCCTTTGAATCACTCTGTACCATTGATGGCAAACAACTAATGATGGTGCATATGCTAGCATACAATATTGCTAAAAGATTGTATTATTAAAAGTTACATAAATTATCCTCAACATGGTGGATGTATTGTTGAATTTCGAACAAAGGAAGCACATATTAAAGTGGTACTGCAAGTATGAGAATGTAAAGGAAATCCAGCATGTCTGGATGGGAGAGTATGGTACAGCAGCTTCTACACATGGACCAATTAGTCGTATACATGATAAATTTGAAGAACACTGAACTGTCCAAAATGTTATTAAAATCCAGTGCAGAAGAAAATGGACTGCTTGAAGTCAAGAAAATGTGGAAACTGCAATAACCATGTATAAGCGTTCCCCAAAAAACATTTTGAACATTTGACATAAGGTGACTATTGCATGTCCTTTTTGCATGTTCACTTGTGTACATTGCAAAGTTTTGTTTATTGAATGCAATAAGTATTAAAGATATATAGTTTCAAAATGTGTCTGCATTATTTTGAATCACCCCGCAGATGTACTTGCAGAACCCTAGAATTCCAGGATTGCCCTATTATACCCATTTGCCTCCATTCCATACTTTACAACAACATTGTTCTTCTAAATGTCTGTTCTTGCTTGTTGCTTTATGAATTTAAAAGTGATTGACTTTCGTCATGCTAAACTTTAAGAAGTAGACTCATCTCTAGGTTGACTCATGTTTATGAGTCAACAAAGGAACATATGTCACATTTTTGTCCATCATCTGCATCAAATTGGTAAATCAAATGTTATGCATTTGTGAGTGGAGATGGGAAGTAGATTGATTGCTGCAGTGCTTCTATGCAAGCTCCTGAGCCAGTGACAGGAATTCTGCCTGGATCTTTTACTGGAGAATTGAAGTGTTCTTGCTTCTAATTCAGGAATATTTAATGCTAACGCTGTGCATCAGTGAGCTTTATGAAGCATGCTTTCAATGACCTTGCCACCAGTGTTTCTGCAGTGAATGGATAAAAAAAATGTGAAACATCCTAAGCCCAATGAACTAAATCATGTCATAACATTTTCAGTACTCCAACTTATTAAAAAGGTCAAAGGATCATTCCATCATGTGTTTGATTGCTAGGTGATTTATGCCTGCCAATGAAGTTTGCAGATTGTGTTTAGAAAGGAAGTATGCTTTCTCATGAATGAATTCATGTTTTTTCCTTCATCAATATATACCATTGTAAAGCATATAAAAATACACCATCACCTAATCATGTCTTTATATTCAAGCATCAACAAACATATCAATGAAAAAGGCAGACATGAGACAAAAATGATGATGCTGATGTGAGCAACATTTGCACTTTAAATTAATTCAGACATGAATGTTTGCTAATCCCAGGTCACTAAGCACAGTCTCCTTTGTTTTAAATTTCATTTAAGTTGATGAGCATAAATGAATGAGGAAGGTTTACCTTGGTTCTGTTGCTTTTCATGTGATGACCTGAGGCTATTAATATATGGCAGGAATTATGAGATGCGATTGTTGATGTAGATCTAATTTTTGAGGAAGATGAAAAAGCAGATTCTTAGTTTCAGACATGGGAGGTAGGAGGCCATGGGGAACTGCGTTTGAATAAGAAGCTATGCCTTGATTTACTGAAGACCAAGCCCATCCTCTCCAAATGTCATTTTCAGGGTGGAACTCAGGAGTGGAAGCATGCACAAGGAGTGAGCCCTTACCTGTTCATCTTTGAGAAAATTTCACTTCAAAACAGGCTGTTAAAATGAGTCAATGCAGTAAGGTTAACTGTTTTTTGGTGCTGATGATATCATCTGGCATTAACAGTGCATTGAGAGGTCAGAAGCTAAGCACCAGAATCTTTAGCTAAGAGCAGAGAGTTAATGAACTAGGGAAGTAAATAAAGCTTGAAGAGCATGAANCCCCCCCCCCCCCTTTAAACCTTACAGGTTTTTTTTGGTTGAAATCTTAGTGACATTTTCATTCCTGTTACTGTGCAGATTCATTTGGCAAAAGGCAGGCTCTGCTTGACACCAGTTGATCTTGAACCCAAAAAGGGAATGTCACTCTCCTTGCAGGAATGCCACTCTTCCCGCAAGTCCATACAGGTTTGTCAAAATCCATGCAATTCTTTAACTCACTCGATGTTGAGTTACAAAATGGTGACTTACCATATTCTTATATCAATCCCCATTGTTTTTTACATGCAGGCAAAAGCTGCTTTCACCAGGCTTGGAAAGATTGTAATAGTTACCTTCTTGAAAATTGACCAGGGCATGATTTATGATGTTATGGATTTCTCCTCCCCCCCCCTTCCCCCTTTTTGCCTTAGGATTTTTTATTTTTTTGAGGAAGCCTCATCAATGCACTGCTGCAATTAAGTTCAGCAGATTACCATAAAGATCAAGGGTCAAATCCATTGCATTTATCTCTTCACCTGACCATTTGCATGGCATGTTTGCATGCCTTCAGGTTCAGTTTTCTTCCAGATGCAAAGTACCTGTTCACATATCCTTATAGTTCATATGAATATGCATGTAGATGCATAATCATTATCTTGGCAAGTACTTGGAAAATTACTTCATTTAACTAAAATTTCCCAAAATTGTCACTTTTGAAAAATTTTTCTTTACTTTCTTAATCACAGTACCATATTAAACCCTACTTAGATGGATATAATCCAAGAGTACCACCTTTTTAACATGAGCACTTCTTCAGCAAGCTGTTGAAAACTGGAGAAATACTGCAGTGGTGGCTCACAATTGCACATTTTCAAATTTGAATGTCTGAGGTTTTTTTTAATGTACTTGTAGACTCACTTGTTGAATTACAAAACTGTCATGCCATTACACTGCCAAAGTGGGCAAGTCATGGAACCTAATGCCAATGGTCCATAATCTGGCTTAACCCCTCGGGCTGGTTTGTCATACCCTGTATGTGCTACATTCTCTTTGCCACAGGCAGTTTGCCACAGTCAAATGATTTGAGATCATTTGACTGAGTAGTTTCTGAATTATGCTGAAAATACTAATACTGTGCACATTTCATACCCGCAGTGAAATTTAAATTCTGCTTTGAGGAAAATACTATAGCAATATAAGTACCAACTTGAGGGGTTAATAGTGCAAGAAATCATGCAGCCCTGCTGCACAATAGGCCAACAATGACAATGAGCCATTTGGGAATGTATTCCTGTAGAGGTATTATTTGTTCTCAGAAGTGACTCAGAAGTGAAGTAGGAATGGAATTATAGGATAGGAATTCAGTTCCAATGAACTATGTCAATAGCCAATGTATGAGGGTGGATCAAAAAGTAATGGCTGATAATTTTTTTTATTTACAACATTTCTTTCTATCCTCAATAAAGTGCTTTTGAGAGTAGGTGCTACCATTTGTCACTGATGCTAGCATGCATTGATTTTATCATTTGCCATGAGAGGATAGGCACATGAGATATTTGAAAATTGACCATTCTGCACCAAAATTGCCTGCCAATGAAGTTTGCAGATTGTGTTTTGAAAGGAAGTATGCTTTCTCATGAATGAATTCATGTTTTTTCCTTCATCAATATATACCATTGTAAAGCATATAAAAATACACCATCACCTAATCAAGTCTTTATATTCAAGCATCAACAAACATATCAATGAAAAAGGCAGACATGAGACAAAAATGATGATGCTGATGTGAGCAACATTTGCACTTTAAATTAATTCAGACATGAGTGTTTGCTAATCCCAGGTCACCAAGCACAGTCTCCTTTGTTTTAAATTTCATTTAAGTTGATGAGCATAAATGAATGAGGAAGGTTTACCTTGGTTCTGTTGCTTCTCATGTGATGACCTGAGGCTATTAATATATGGCAGGAATTATGAGATGTGATTGTTGATGTAGATCTAATTTTTGAGGAAGATGAAAAAGCAGATTCTTTCAAAGTCTGTACCCTCCATCCTCTGGTACCCCTTGACGCAAACTTATTCTTCGATACGGAACTAAATGACTTCTGGTTCGGGTAGGAGAGGTTTACAGTAAAAGTCCCACCTTGAGTCCTCACCTTCCATGCACAAGGAGTGAGCCCTTACCTGTTCATCTTTGAGAAAATTTCACTTCAAAACAGGCTGTTAAAATGAGTCAATGCAGTAAGGTTAACTGTTTTTTGGTGCTGATGATATCTGGCATTAACAGTGCATTGAGAGGTCAGAAGCTAAGCACCAGAATCTTTAGCTAAGAGCAGAGAGTTAATGAACTAGGGAAGTAAATAAAGCTTGAAGAGCATGAATAAATGTATCTTGCAAACAAATATACTTTCCCATGATGAATGCCATGGGACATAGCTTAGCCATGAACCAGTTCTCAGTGGGCCTGCTATTTTGAATAAGAGATAAGGTTCCTTGTACAACTGTGCAGATGTCTGCTTGTGCATATGGCTAAAATTTTGTTAATATTGCTTCTTCAAGCTTAATCAAATATTTATTGTTGCCCACTTATTGTAAACTGGCAGTTTGCAGTGTATTGGATCAAAATTGACAATATAATTTTAAAAACTGCAAGTTTTTGTATAAGGGCACAATTGAGCAGATTGAGCAAGATTGAGATTACTTGGCCCAATGGTTCATCCCCACTCCCATAGTTTAAATCTGCAAGAATTACTACTAAACCTTGACAGTGGTCCAGTGGGGATCATTTCCAAATCACCATTTTAAATTTCTCCTTGAATCATCCAATTTGTGTTCAGTTCTTGCTTTTGCAACTCTGTTATAGTGTTCATCTGCTGTGTAGTTGTAATCATTCCTGTCACCTTTAAAAAGTGATAAAAGCTGTTGGCAGCAGAGTCTGGATTTTAAATTATAAGCTGGGCTAAGCTGTCTGACAAGGATAACACAAACTGACTTGACTTTTTAATCTCTAGAGGAATGTGCCTATATACAATGAAGCAGCTGGGATGTGCCTGGGAAGCAAAGATGGAATATCAGTGGATCTGGTATTGTGCACTTCCCCCAATTCTACACGGAAGGAGTGGAACTTTGTCCCTCTCACTTCTTAATGTGCCTACTGTGATAAGTGAGGAAGGTTCCATTTTCTTTCCATCCCCCAGACAACTTCATGCCATGGCATTTTCAAAAGATGATAATAAAGGATTTGTAAGATTGTTTTGGATGGAAGATTTGTGCTAATGCCAGTTGTAGATTTAAGAAATTAAAAAAACCAGTTTCCTTATGCTATGAGATGATGCTAAAGCTGTTATTTTCCTCTTTTTTTCTCATGAATTTATGCTTACCTTTATAAGTGGTTAAATTATACTTCTTGGCCTATTTAATTTTTTTTGAGCAAATTCAAAACTTAATCCAATAAGGAACCCCATATGAAGTATCCTTGGATTATTATAAATGAGCAACCAGCAGAGTGTATCTAATAGTTTTTGTGTTCCTATGTGGTGCTCCTGATTTGCCTCACTTTGGAAGGGTATGCAGGAACCAATCAGTCCGATTCTTTTTTCTGCCAGGGAAGTGGTCATGCAAATGATCTTCAAAGCTAAAAGTAATTAAATAAAGGCTTTTTCATGTTGTTGCTGATGGTGGACCTCTTTTCAGTTAATCAGAAGCAACTCTTGCAGTTGTGAATACAATGTTTCAATGCCCAGAAGTGTTTTCATAATAAACTCCTAGGAGCATGAGATTGAGCTATTATGGACATTGGGAAGTAAATCCTGTCTTAGCAGACAGAAACCTGTTTGATTCTGAATATATCCATAGTCTGTTATGCAATGCTGCAGCTTCCATACAAAGGAAAGAAAAAACTTACTGGTCATTCCACCTCAAAAGTTTGGGTGTGACCATATCAGAATTCAGTTAAATTTTATAGGCAGGACTGTTCTGAGCATGCCATTAACATCTTAAATATCCATTTCAAATGGGGCAGAGGTGAAGGTGAAATTTGGCCCTCAGGGCAAAAAATGGCCACACAGTCCACTTTAGCTAACTTCCCTGCTTTTCTTTGCTGGAGATCATTGTTAGCTCAAATCAAAGCTGCAAGAAATGAAAATCAAAGAATGGATACTAATTCCATTAAGTTTATAGTTTATTCTAAAAAGTTAAAAGAAATTTACTCCCAGATTGTAATTTTCTATCAGATACTCCCTGTGGAATTTAGATGGCATCACTGATGATTTGAATGTTTGACCAACTTATCAGGTTTTGGTGGAGAACTCTGAATACTTAAACATGTGAATAATGAAATAAAGCAGGCCTGGATATGCAATGTTGGGAAGGTGAGGGAAGANTTATGCAATGCTGCAGCTTCCATACAAAGGAAAGAAAAAACTTACTGGTCATTCCACCTCAAAAGTTTGGGTGTGACCATATCAGAATTCAGTTAAATTTTATAGGCAGGACTGTTCTGAGCATGCCATTAACATCTTAAATATCCATTTCAAATGGGGCAGAGGTGAAGGTGAAATTTGGCCCTCAGGGCAAAAAATGGCCACACAGTCCACTTTAGCTAACTTCCCTGCTTTTCTTTGCTGGAGATCATTGTTAGCTCAAATCAAAGCTGCAAGAAATGAAAATCAAAGAATGGATACTAATTCCATTAAGTTTATAGTTTATCCTAAAAAATTAAAAGAAATTTACTCCCAGATTGTAATTTTCTATCAGATACTCCCTGTGGAATTTAGATGGCATCACTGATGATTTGAATGTTTGACCAACTTATCAGGTTTTGGTGGAGAACTCTGAATACTTAAACATGTGAATAATGAAATAAAGCAGGCCTGGATATGCAATGTTGGGAAGGTGAGGGAAGAATCCAGGAGGAAATGGAACCAGGTCATAGGTTACCTTTTTGTCTTTGCATAGCTAGGGCTCCAATGATTGCATCAGAGGGTTCATTTTGTTCATTGGGTTCATATCCTCTCTCCCATGATGCCCATATGGGAAATCCTCATCCTGTACATGTCATAGGAACTTCGCCTTTTCTCTAACATGGAAATGTGGGCAAGGGGAACCCTTTAAATCTTTTATGAAATAGTAACTGGTTCAAATTATTAAAGAAAAACTTAAGGTAACTTACTACACTTCTTAAAGAAATTGGAAAGACAGGACTTAACACAAGATCCACACCTTTATATATCTTTCCTTTTTGGGCTTCAATAAGGCTATGTATGTAAGTACGTATAAAATGGTCTCCCCGA